AGGGGCATGGCTCCAGGACTGGGTGTTAATTTACCTGCTGCTTTAGCTCATCAAGAAACACTCACACCTCGCTCTGTAACAGATCACGCAGAGACCAAAGTTTGTAGCTAACTGCCTTATCTGCACTCCCTGTGTTAAAACCCTGAACTGAACGGAGAGAGGGGGAATTGAAACAGGGTTTTGTGCCTTTGAGGGAGAATGGTGGGGCGGTGGTGACTAAGAGGAGGAAATCTGAGCTCTGCTCCTGCATCTCTGGGAAGCCATGTGGTTTTTACCGCCTCCTCTTCTGCTCTTGGGCAACGGGTATGGAAGTGCCCGTTCACCCAAGGGCCACTGGAGGTCTGTAAGAAAAACTAAGCTGGACACTTCTGCAGAGCAACACAGGTGGAAGCGGCACAGATCAACCTGTCCTGCTTCTTATTTCAAGTTGCAAGAAAAATCAGAGGGTATTGCCCCAAAATGGGGGCAGGAAGAGCTTATCTCCTTCCACCAGGCACAGCTGATGCATTAGCGCAAGAAGGGTTTGGTTGGACTTGAGTGGGTTTCCCTCAACACCGAGCAGCACAACCTGGCTCAAGGGATGTGTTGAACCAAACCTGAGCAGCTGAGGGAAGGGACAGGATTAATTTCAGCAACAGAAAGCTTTTCCTGAAACAAAAGCCTTTGGGTGCAGTCATAAACCACAGCTTGAGATGGACTAAAGGGGCTGTGTCCTCCTGGTCCTGCACTTCCCTCCCCATGATGCTCTTGCCATCCCTCTCACGTCAGCATCAGCACGTGGTAGGAAAGCTCCTGACCTCCTTCATTTGGTGGCATTGCCTGGTAAGGACACCCATGCTTAGCTTTTGGCAGAAAGTCAACAGGACTTGGGCGTAACGAGATATAAAACATTTGCTAAGCAAGCGCTGGAAGACTGCGGTCAGAATTTGGTTTAATTCATTGGGCCCCCGTTCCCCTCTCACCTCACACAACTCCATGAGACACAAAGCAAAAGTTGAAAAAAAAAAGTTGTTTCTACCCAGCAGGGACTCCCGTTAGGTACAGGAAAGAGGTGCAAACATAGGTGGGATCTGCTGGCCGCCGCCACACGTATGCGCTTTGCAGGGGAGATGTTTCAACCATGTCTGCAGAAACTACTGCAGGCAGAACTGCCTCGCCGCATAGGCAGCGCTTTGCAGAAAATGCTCAGCAAGGAAACCAGGAACATGAACACCGGCAGGAGCGTGGCATCTCCAGCAGCGCAGCCTGCTATCAGCCCCACTCCTCTCCATGGAAAAGAGCCTGGTACCAGTGGCTGGGCAAAAATGATAAACATTTTAATACCATGATACACAAATAGACATTTAAGGGATAAAGTCTGAAGTCCTGTTTGAAATCGAAATCTGAGGAAGAATCAGGCTTTGCAGGAGCAGATGGGTTTCTGGCATCCCACGGCACCCACCCAACACTTCAGGGGTAACACAGTGTGGCTACTCCTAACACCTTCTTCGAACAAAAGCCGCACACAAATACCTTTACACAAAACAACACCGAGCCCAAATAACTCCCAATACCTCATGAAGGCAGAGGGAGGCTACCCACCATCACCCATTTTTGGGCTGGAAATGAACTTTTTGACCTCAGTCCTGAGAAACTATCATTACGCCGATTCCCTTGGGTCAATTTTCTGCTCCAGATGACTGAAGCATCACTAGGATTTTGCCGAGCAAGACCCCCAGCACCTATCTGAGGCACGTAATGATGGGAAGAGCAGTTGAAACACTGTGCGACATGGGAAGACCTCTCTCCTCTACTTGGGAGTTGCAAGACACAGAGGGAGCTCATTAAAAAGGGTCCTCTTGAACTGAAG